TCGATCGTGAGATCGACAGGTGTCCCGTGGTGTCCCGTTCGATAGTGAGATCGATACTGGGATCGATGTGGTGCCCCGAGATGTCCCGTGGCGTCCCGTGGTGTCCCGTTGAGTGAGATCGATAGTGAGATCGATAATGAGATCGACAGGTGTCCTGTTGTGTCCCGTGGTGTCCCGTTGGGTGGGATCGATAGTGAGATCGATGTGGTGTCCCGAGGTGTCCCGTGATGTCCTGTGGCGTCCCATGGTGTCCCGTTGAGTGAGGTCGATAGTGAGACCGATAGTGAGATCGAGAGGTGTCCCACGGTGTCCCGCGGTGTCCCGTGGTGGCCCGTGGTGTCCCGTGGTGTCCCATTTAGTGAGGTCGATAGTGAGATCGATAGTGAGATCGACAAGTGTCCCGTGGTGTCCCGTGGTGTCCCGTGGTGTCCCGTTGGGTGAGATCGATAGTGAGATCGATTGAGTACGATGTTGGTTTCCCCCCCTCTCCCCCCCACAACCTCCATGTCGGCCAGGCACCAGTCAAAGGCTCCCAGGCCTTTCGTCAAGGACGACGCACTGCACTTGTTTGTTCGTAGCTACCCTCGATTGTTGAATACACGACTCCCCCCGCCCATGCGAAGGTCGGGCCGCGTGACCCCAGAGGTCCGAGAGCATTCAAAAGCATAGAGGCCCCACCTCCTCTTTGGGTGCTGGCATCCTTTAAATGTATCCAAGTGCGCTGCCGCGCGGATCTGCCACCCTGTCCAGGCGGGCGCTCTGGCGAGGGGGGAGGGGCTGGGATGGGGAGGGGGGGCTACGGATTCCCAGTGGGATGCCTGAGGACCTTCCATGGTCGTTCATCGGGAGCTCATCGTGCACCCCAGCGTTCGTGGTTCCCAAAAGGAATTCCGTTCCCTAATGAAGGACCGTTCTTTATGGCAACAGCTCGACTACATGTGCCATCAGGTGCAACATGCTCGCGCGCCCTCGCGCGCTTGGTGACTCGTCGGGCCGAGGAGCCGAGGGCGGTGGCGAGAGGGCGCGGGGGATGGTCACGCTCGGCGCATTGCCGGGCTCGAGGCGCGAGGGCAGTCTAGCAAGCTAGGAGGGCCCCAGATAGAGATGGGGGACAAGGCTGTGACCACGAAACTATGTTTGCAGCCGCCACCGCGCACGGTATGGCGGGCAGCATTCAGGGTAGGTTCGCGGGCGTGAGACGTTCAACGACATATGTACACTTCGGTTCAGGCGAAGGCCCGCATACCTCAGTATGTGTGTGTGCGCATGTATACGTGCGCGCCCCCCAGGAGGAGGAGGAGAAGAAGGAGGAGGAGGAGGAGGAGGAGGAGCACGAGGAGGAGGAGGACGACGAGGAGGACTACCTCCTCGGCTCTCCCTGCATTTGGAAGCCTCCGTGCTCCTCTCTCGGCGGCTTCGTGGGCCCACTCCCCTTCCGTGAGCCTCTGGGGGCGGCGCGCTTGGCCCAGCCGCCCCCGCCGAGCTGGGAGGGGAGCCGAACTGGCGCCACTGCTACTACAGCCGGGGCGCTGAAGAAGGAACCCTTTTCGTTGGGGAGGGGCTCAGTGTTCCTTGCTTGTTTCACCGTTTGTCTTAGGTTGTTTTTCGGTTTTCTATTGGAAAGAGGGCCTCGTTCCTCATGCAGGGTTCCTTATGGCAGCGTTTCGACTGCATCATGCTACCATAAGGGATGCGGAATAAAGACCGAGAGTTTCTTGTCTGACCACGGCGAGCCTCGGCCACGGAAAGGACCCCCCGACCTGGTTTGAAGAAGCGGCGAAGACCAGAGCCCCGCCCGAACCCAGAGTGGTCCTTACTTCAGCGCCCTGGCTGTACGCCTGACCTCCAGCCCCCCCTCCTCTGGGCCTCGGAGAGCCCCCAAAGTGTCCTGGGATGTTCAAACAGCATGTTTACAAGTCGAAGGGACTTAGGCAACATAACTCAACAGCACCCCCAAGCACCTCTAGCAACGTTCTTCATCCAATGAAGAGCCCCCACAATTCTTCACGAGTCGCGTACTATACGACCACCCTGCGGGTGATAAGGAGGTTGTGGGGGGAGGTGGGAGGGGGGTGGCTCATGACGACAACTGTGGTGAATGTGGTGTTGATGGCCGATGATGGTGTGGATCATAATCGGTCTCACTATCGATCTCACAATCGATCTATTTATCGATCTCACAATCGATCTCACAACCGATCTCACTATCGACCCCTCTATCGATCTCACATTCGATCTCACAATCGATCTCACTTTCGGTGCCACTACCAATTTCACGATCGATCTCACTATCGATCTCACTATCGATCTCACTATCGATCCAACATTCGGTCTCACATTCGATCTCACAATCGATATCACTTTCGGTGCCACTATCAATTTCACGATCGATCTCACTATCGATCTCACTATCGATCTCACTATCGATCCAACATTCGGTCCCACATTCGGTCTCACTATCGATCTCACTTTCGGTGTCACTATCAATTTCACGATCGATCTCACTATCGATCTCACTATCGATCTCACGACAGGACAACGGCGGGCGACCGACGGGGCAATGCGGGCTACCGCTTGACACGCGCCGTCGGGGGAAACATTTATATCGGCGAACCACTAGCGACAGACAGGACAACGGCGGGCGACCGACGGGACAACGCGGGATACCACTTGACACGCGCCGGCGGGGGAAACTTTTATGTTGGCGAACCACTAGCGACAGACAGGACAATGGCGGGCAACCGACGGGACAATGTGGGCCACCGCTTGACACGCGCCGGCGGGGGATACATTTATGTTGGCGAACTACTAGCGACAGATAGGACAACGGCGGGCAACCAACGGGACAATGCGGGCCACCGCTTGACACGCGCCAGCGGGGGAAACATTCATGTTGGCGAACCACTAGCGACAGACAGGACAACGGCGGGCAATCGACGGGACAATGCGGGCCACCGCTTGACACGCGCCGGCGGGGGAAACATTTATGTTGGCAAACCACTAGCGACAGCATAATGAATTCCTCTCGCCCGCGCACGCAGCTTCGCCTCGCCCGCACGCACGACACGAACACGAAACCGACACCGATTTCCCGGTGGGGGGCTCTCCGTTCCACTTCGATCTCACCCCCCAACCTCCGATCCCCCGCCAGCCCATTCAGAAACCTTGCCCATGATAGTTGACGGAAAATGGACGAAGAGACACATATAGTGAAACAAAGCAGGCAACCAGGGTGAACAGAGAGCTCTCCGGAGCAAGGGGGTGGCCTTGGAGGCCTCTTCGGGCCATCCCTGGGGCCTGCGTGGGGGCGAGGGAAGGAGGAGGAGGCAGAAGAAGGAGGAGGAGGAGGAGGAGTAGGAAGACGACCACGACGACGAGGACGAAGAGGAAACGGAAAAGGACGATGAGGGCCAGGACTAGGACGAGGACGAGCAGGAGGAGGACACCGAGGACGAGGACAGGGCCCTCAAAATAGCCTCTTGGAGCCCTCTTGGGGCTCTTTTGGGACCCTATTGCGGCACTCTTGGGGGCTTGGGGGAAGTCCTGTAGGGCCTCTTGGGGCTATCGTGGAGGGCGCCGGTGAAAAGAGATGGATCCTGACGTTTCCCCCCCCCCCGCCCCTCCTCGGGGCCCCTCGGAATCGCCCCATTGGGGCGCTCTTGGAGCGATCTTGGGGCCGTCTTGGGGGCCTCTTGGGCCCATTTTGGGGCTCTCTTGGGCCATCTTGGGGCAATATTGAGGTATCAAATGCGCATCGAAAGCGAAACGGCGAGAAGGCCACACTCATTGATTACCCTGTGGGGTTTGAAGGAGTTGGGCCTCTTGGGGAGGTCCAGAGGGGGCTCGGAGCACTTGGATCCGCCTAGTGGCCCTCGTCGGACCTCTCTGGAGGCATGTCGGAAGCTATGTTGGACCAACCCCGGCTATCTTGGGACACCTTGGAGGCCATTTTGGAGCATCGGATGCCCTTTTGGAGCCATCTTGGGTGCCCTGACCGATCGCGAACCCTAAAAAAGCACCTCAGCAAGGGAGGGGGAGGGTAACTCTCTCCGAAGGGAAAATGGTTTTTGGCAAAAGGAAGGATCTCGCTAGGCCACCTTAGCCCAAATGGCCAGTGGGACTTCCACGGATCCTCAAAAGTTTGCCTCAGGTCATCCGAATCACCATCTTCAGCATCATCATCATCATCATCACCATCATCATCATCGTCATCATCATCAGCAGCATCAGCACCATCACTATTAACCAACAACATCATCACCATCATCCGCATCATCATCATCGTCGTCAGCATCATCATTATCGGCATCATCATCAGCATCATCATCAATAACACCAACATCATCCTCAAACTAATATTCACAATCTCATCATCATCACTATCAGCAGCAGCAGTGTCATCGTCAGCATCATCAGTTTATCATCATCAGCATCATAATCAACATCATCATCGCCATCACCATCGTCGTCATCATCATTATCATTACCATGGTCATCATCAGCAGCATCATTACCATCCTCAGCATCGTCATCGCCATCGCCATCATCACCGTAATCGTCAGCATCACCACCATCATCATTATCGGCATCGTCATAGTCATCATCATCATCATCGCTATCATGGTCCTCATCATCATCAGCAGTATCAGCATCATCATCATCATCGTCATTGCCATCGTCATCTTCAACGTCATAGTCATCGGCATACTCATCATAATTAACATCAGCATAATCGTCATCATCACCATCAACATCATCATCGTCATCATCACAGCCATCGTCATCGTCATCGCCATCAGCATCATCATTACCTCATCACCACCATCGCCATCATCAACGTAATCACCAACTTCATATTTGTATTCACTTTGTTATTGTTCTGCATCAGTTTCATCTTCTCCATCATCAACTGCACTTTCTTATTCATCATCCGCATCATCATCAGCTGCCTCCCCTCTCCTCCTCCCCCCTTCCCTTTTCCTTCCCCCCGCGCGCGCCAGAACCAGCACGAGGCCAAGATCAAGCTGGAGGAGGCCCTGGAGTCAGGCGAAGCCCAGCGGAAGGGAGTAGGGAGGAAGGAGGAGGAGGAGCAGGACGAGTTTCGCTCCTTCTTGCCCCCCTTTTCCCCTCCTCCCCCTCTCTCCCCCTGCCTCTCCTCCTTCCCCACCGTGTTCGTCCTCCTCCTCACCCTCTTCCTCCTACTCCTCCTCCTCTCGGCTTCCCCCCCTGCCCGTCGCTCGTCTTGGCCGCCGTCGTGCCGTCTGCTCCTTCCCGCCCGTCTCTTCCTCTTCTCGTTTTTTATATTATTCTTCGTTTTTGTTCATCTGATTATTCTGATTCTTCTTCTTCTTCTTCTCCTTCTCCTCTGGCGTCCGCCAGGGGGCGCCGGCACGCCGCGGTCGGCTCCCCGCCAGCGCCTGCGCGGGAGGTGACCAGAAGAAGCTGCGCGAGTCAGCGGTGTTCGCGAAGCAGGCCGTGGGGGGGGTTGGGGCGAGAGCGCGCGCGCCCTCTGTTCGTCAGCACTCCGATGCGCAAAGCCGAGGTGGGGCCCCGTTCGAGCCCTGAGGGGGGGGAGCCCTCGGAGATCCTCGAGGGGGGGCGGGAGGGTCGGGGGGAGCGGGAAGTCACGTAAGAGTAGCCCTTCGCCAGAGTGACCTCTGGTGCGGGCCCACAGTCGTCCCGCCAGCATCGGCCTGCGCCCGCGGGTCTGGCCCCCCTCGCGGCCCCGGGAAGCCGCGCACCAGGGGCCCCTCCTGCCCAGGGCCACTCCTTGCGTATGGGTGATCATGATGCGTCCGAAAGTTTCCGTGCTCTCTTGGTCTCCTGCGCGGCACGAGGCGGGTGTCGACTACACGGAGATGTGGCCCTTCGCCGGAGTGACCTCTGGTGCTGGCCCACTGTGGCCCCGAGATGGCGGAAGGGGGCGCGATAGCAGCGGCCTGCGCGCTCGGGTGTGGCCACCCCGGGCCTCCCCAAAACCGCGCAGCAGAGGTCACTCGTTGCCTGGGGTCACTCCTGCGTGAAGCCGACGAATGGCAGAGTACGAATGGCCGAGGACCGCCAGAAACTCCTGGAACTCCCAGACAGAACGTCTCCTGACCGAGGCCTGCACTTGCATCTGGGGAGGGGGCGCCCCGGGCGTGCGAGGGCTTCGGGCGGACAGGAAGGGCAAGATGCCACTGGGAAGCTGACTGCGGCAGCACATTGTGCTCCCAAGCCTTGCCCTGCCAATCCTGGTGCCGATTGTCCTCGACCCTGCCTCCCGGCCTCCACGTTCACACAACATTCCTTTTCCTTTCCTCATCCAGTCGCCTCCTGATATGTCCTCCCTCCCATTCGCCTCTACAACTTGTTGTGCGCGCAGCCTGTCTGGAAGTCGCACGTGCGCGAATCTGCAGAATAAGCCTGTACTATCCACCGATGCGTCAAAGGCGGATCCGGCCGACTGTGGCTCGTGATTTGGTGTGGTGGAGCTTCGTCTCCTGTGTGCACGTATGCACACTTGTTAAGTCGGGCCCAGTGTGCTGGCACTTGAGCAGACTATGTGTCGAAGCATTGCTGGACTGTTCAGCTTCAGCGTTTCCGTCTCCGCGTGCCGTCACATATTAGATCTTCGTTGCGTTCACAGCGTATCGGTAGTGTGTGTGTGTGTGTGTGTTAGGATTGGTTGTACGTCGCGGTATCCAGTACCAGCGGATACGCGTTTGATGGCATGTTCAGCCGCTCTGGCTGGGACGAGTGACGAGTGTTGGTTGCCGGTGGAGACCTCCATGTTGTAACCACGCCCCTCCCAGCGCAGGCAAATTACAAGTCCGATCCCAGCCTCGAGTCCCTCTACGAAGAGTGCATCAGGAAGCTCAAGGCGCGCCCGTGTGCGCCTCTCAGTGGGAAGCTGCAGCTCTATGTTTCCGGACAGGCGGCTGGCTGACCCTTGGCATTGCTCGGACGTGTGCATGTTTTCTCGGCGAAGACCATCGAGGAACATCTCGGACCATCTTGCGAATAATACACGCACGAAATCACGAAATGCACGGGGAATTGACGTCCGAGCGATGGCGAGGGACCTCGCCCGCCGCTCCCACGCGACTTGCAATCGGATCTCGGTCCCTCGCGCACACGATCGGAGAGCGAACGATGCACGCGCCCTTGCAGACTCTGGGCACGACTCGGAGGCGCAGGGGTTGGAGGAGGAGGCCTCGGCTCAGGCGGTGCCCGAGGGCTCCTGGGGCGCAAGGGGCTCCTGGAGGCCCCAGGGAGGAGGAAGAGGTGGACGAGGAGGAGAACCCCGACGGTGGGGCCTCTTCCGACGAGGGCGAGGACGAGGAAGAGCAGGAGGGTAGCGACGACGCCCCCGAAAGCTCCCGCGCGGCCTCGAGGAGCAAGCGGCGACGGCTTGAGCCGGGCCCGACGGCTCCAGGGCGCAAAGGGCTGCCAGAGATTCCATGCTGAGGGCCGATTTCTGGCCACCGCCCCTTACCCGCGGACCACATTCTTTGCTGGGGTGGTGTGCAAGCATCGTGCCCCAAGGGGATGCCATTTTTGTACACAACCCCCCCGCTCCGCGGTCTTGTGCCGGGCCAGCTTGTGTGTGAGGGTTGTGTACAACAGTCGCGCCCCCACCATGGAGGAGGAAGGGGAGGACGAGGCCGACGATGGAGCCTCCTCTCCTCCTCCACCTCCTGGAGCCTGCAGACAGTGGAAAGGAGAGGGGGAGGACGACGAAGACGACGACAAGGATGGCGAGGACCGGTGGCTCGGTCACCCGCAGGGGCGCGAAGATGACCGCGCCTTGCGCCTCGCGGTTTCAGCCGGAGGGCCGATCCAGTGCCGCCGACCAGGTTTGCACCCAGCTACCTGAGCAGACCTGGGGCTGGAGGAGGGGGCGATGGCTACAAGTCCAGCGCCACAGGAGTAGTCCGCGTACTGATGGCCTGAGGACAGGAGAGGAGAAGGAGGAGGAGGAGGAGCAGGAGGAGGAGGAGGTTTATCTGCGACGCGAGGATGGACGGTTGGGCCACCTCCTGTTGTATTTCAGCATGCGTATCAGCATTACGTTTCTCTTTCTCACGTTTGTCCTGCGCTGTCTCGTTACCTCTCAGCACTTCAGTACAGGATTCCGCCATCTCGTACGTTTCACCCAGACCTGTACATCCAAGCCTATGTTGTTTATTTCAACTAGCACTGCCAAGGCCGCCAGTACTGTCTGGCCAGCCTGCAAGTGCTGTCAGCACCAAGCCAGCATGCCAGTACTTGTTTCAGTCACTCTAGCAAGGCCAGCAAGTTCAGGTCGGCCAGGCGACTCAGCTCTCATTGTCTCAGCCATGATAGCACATTCCGCATGCCAGCACTATCCTTACTGTCCATCATACGGTGAGGTGAGTCCTTCCCCCGAGGAACCGAAGAGCGGGCCTGCTGCTGGCTAGCGGGAGGCCTGACAGGGCCAGACGGACGTGTTTAACACAGCTTATCTCACTGCAAAGTTACTCATTTCGCGTTTTTTTCTCAGCTTGCTTCCACACCTGCACCTCTCTCACTTTAGCGCTGCTCGCCTGGACCTATAACATTGGGGGGGCAGCTAGGGGAAGGAGTACCAAGGTTACATCAGGCGTTGCAGCGCACACTCAGAGTTGCCTTCCATGAGTCGCCTGTGCTCTTTCCATTCCCTGGCACTACGTGCTTATTTCGACCTCTCCTCATTCGGTAAAGATTGTGATTATGGTATCTTCATGGTCATTCCTTGTCATTCCCGGGTAATTCCAAAAGTGCTGGTGGCGAGCGCTTACTCTGAGCTGTTCTCGGCCCCTCGCAGCTGCCATTATTTTTCGCCCGTCTGTGTCCGCAGCACTCGCCACCTAGCCTAATGTGCTTGCTTCGTCGCCTAAGTCGGCGATTGCTTCGCTTTTGAATTAACGCCACAAGCCCGCGCTTCATGTCCGAACGACGTCAAAAGGAGGCGGAGGACGAGAAAGAGGGATGAAGGCCACGAGGAGGAGGAGGAGGAGGAGGAGGAGGAGGAGGAGGAAGAGGAGGAGGAGGAGGAGGTGGAGGAGGAGGAGGAGATGATGATGAGGAGGAGGGGGTGGATGAGGAGGAGGAGGGAGGACGGAGGAGGAGGAAGAGGAGGAGGAGGAGGAAGGAGAAAGGAAATGGGAGGAGGAAGAGGAGGAGGAGGAGGAGGAGGAGGAGGAGGAGGAGGAGGAGGAAGGGGAATGCCACGCCCCGCACCCCGCTTCCGCACCCACCCCTGCCTCCTCTCGGCCCTCACTTCCAACCCCTTCTTCCCGGGCCCCTGGATGGGGCCAGGGGGGCCTCCCGTGCGCCCTGCTCGCGCGCTCTCGGGGCGCCCGGGCTGGCGTCGAGCGTCCTGTCTCTTTTCCCGCGGGCGCGCGCGCGGGGTGTGCGCTTGCCGCCCCTACAGGCTAAAGGCCTCCTCGCGGGGCCCATGCCTCCTCGGGCCCGCTCCTGAGTGGGTGCTCCGCTGCGGGCCCTCCTCGCAGCGGCTCGGCGGAGCTTCTGTGTTGGCTGGCCAGGACTGGCGCCGATTGCGCTGCGCTCGACTAGACGTCAAGGTGACCTTTCGCCGGAGTGACCCGATGGGGTCCCCCGACTTATGAACGCGAAGTGTTGGCAGCGGCTTGCGCGCTCGAGTTTGGCCACCCCGCGTCCCCCTTGACGCCGCGCGCCGAATGTCACCCTTGCCTAGGGCCACTCTTGCGTGTAGCCGATGTGAGCGTGGCGCGAGGGGGCTCCCGCAATGTGGCACAGGAGGGCGCAGAAGGCTGCACCGCACAGGCGTGTGGTATGGGCCTCGTGAGAGGATGGCCCACCTGGAGATCCCGGCGTCGCAACTTCTTTGAGCCGGGCGTGCTCGCATGATTCTATAGACTTACGCCACATCCGCCGACCCCCCTTGAGTGTAGATTGCTTTCCTATGGTTTGTGGGAGCGTCCAGGGTGATGGTGGTGCAGATGAAAGCGAGACAGTGGGATTAGGGTTGCGTTGGGGGCATCTGGGGCCGCCTGCAGGCCGTGTTGGGCGATTCGGGTCCTTCTTGGACACTTTGGGGGACCTCTTGGGCCGTCGCGGAGCTCTCTATCCGTCCATGAGGGGGTCCAATGGGGGTGATATGGGGGGGAAGCAGTCGTACACGCCCAAAGACCCACATGGGATTGGCGGATGACGGGAAGCGCCTTTGGCGCGGACATTTTTTATGAATTAAATTCAATGTTCCTTTCCTAATGGCTCCGCGCTGCACTTGGGAACTCGCTGGCGGATGAAGGGAAGCGCCGTCTCGGAACGAGAAGGTGAAGGGAGTTTGTTAGAGGAAGCTGAATAAGGAATACATGAAGAACTCGCGAGGGACGACGGGCTCGGGATTGCAACTGATTTTTCTGTTGGCGGATTCCATCCCACAACTACCGTTTCGGTCAAGGCATATTCGAAACATTGAGATGGTGGACGAGTTGTTTCAAGATGTCTTCTATTCAACATGTGGCTCACATTCGAGACATCCTCGAAAAATGGAGATATCCAGGGAGCTTGCGAAGCAAGACGGTCCAAGAGGGGTTCAAGAGGGCTCAATGACTGTCCAAGAGCGCTCCAAGACGGTCCAAGATACCTTCCATCATTTTCATCATCATCTTCATCATCATCATCATCATCATCATCATCATCATCATCATCATCATCATCATCATCATTATCATCATCATCATCATCATCATCGAGAACGGGGGGAGGCCACCTCGATTCTGCCCGACTCTCCTCTTCCCGAGAATGCGCCAGCTATTCTTGATCCTTACCTTCCTGTTCCACTTTCTCCTGGGGGAGGTGATGCTGCTCCTGCTGAGCAGTGGCATCCATTTGTCATCTCTCGCACTGTGGGTCTTGCTTCATGGAATACTCGTGCATTTTTTGGCAGTGTGTATGGCGATCCACAGAGACAGCATCGGAAACAGCAGATTTTCAGAAGTCTTGTACACCGCTTTCAAGTAGTATTTTGGCAGGAAACCCACGGGACCCAAGAAGATCTTTCCTCGCTGGATCGTGACGTGCCAGCTCACACGCACTTTGGCTCGTTTTGCTCTTCTGCGGCGGCGGGAGGCGTTACCATGTCTATTGATCCTTCCCTACTCCAGCTCTTTCAGGACATCCTCGTTGAAAACATTATCGATGGACGATGCATTGCAGTTACGTTAACAGGCGAGAAAGGCACGTTGCAATTGATTAACTTTCACCTCGACCCCACCCTCTCCGACGTTGAGAAGGATCGTGTGATCCGCACTGTTGCTGCTCACGCTCTGCCTGCTGATCAGGCCACTGTCATCTTGGGAGGCGATTTTAACTTCTTGGAGGAAGGGGAGATGAGGACGTTCACAGACGGAAGAGAACCCACCCCTGAGAGGACTGCTGTTCTGCATATGTTTTCTCGGGTTTTCGGACACCTCGCTGAAGTTGCCCAACAAGAGCCCACTCATCGGTCTGGGAGGAGGGAGGACGGTGCGCTTAGCCTTGGACGCTTGGACAGGTTCTACATATCTTCTGCCACCACCGACATTCTAGATGCGACTCCACGGAGCGGAGTCATAGGTCTTGCTCATGATGTCGCCCAGCCGAGCGACCATATTCCTGTCTGGCTTCAGTTTTCGCCTGGCGGCAGAACAACCCCGACGATCCCCTCCTGGATTACCAAACATCCTGATTTTGGTACTGAAGTTGAGGCTGCCATTGGTTCGGTTGAAATGCCCAGGGACCCGTTCGAATACCTCCTGTCCGTCAAAGACGCGATGTATGTTGCCAAGGATGCTTTGATGACTCGCATGTTCTTCCGAGGCCCCCACAACGACGCGCAGAAGTTATCGGTCTACCTTAAGTTTCTTCGGGCTGTTCGGGATGGCAAGTCTTGGGACATTCGGAGGTGTATCCAGGCTATTCCTCATCTTAGTCTACATGTTCATGCTGATGAATGTTGTTTTAGAGATTCGGTGTCATTTTATCGTGAAATGGCCGAGCTTCAGCACTCTCTTCTCCAGCGAGAAATTCGCGAACACGTCGAAGGCGGCGGAGCCCCCGACGACGATCGAGGCCTCAGGTTGCACCAGCTTCTGCGACAGTGGTCTCCCAAAAGGCGCCGTATTGTTCTGGTTTCCGTCCCCGACCCCACCGGGTGCCCTTCGCCTGACCTGGAGGTCAGTGCTCAGAATCTTGCGTCGCACTGGGGGCGGGTCCATGCCGCGAAGCCTCAGGACAGGGGATACCACTTCCAGAAGACACTGTTGAGCAGTGAGATTCAGCAGGTTGCCCCAGGTATCGAGTGGACGCTCGACCTGCATAGCTTCATAGGTAAGCTCGTCGGCCGCAAGGACAGCGCGACTGGCCCCGACGGCATCCCATACAGTGCATGGCGGTTCGCTGGCGACGCCGCTCACAATGCTTTGTATCAAGTTTATCTCGCTATTTTGGACAATCCTACATATGGGCCCCCACATAAAGGCTTCAACGAGTCCCTCACGGTGTACCTCCCAAAGGCCATCCACCCGCACGAAGCTGGAACCTCTGAGATCTCTCGGGAAGCGTCTGTGGTTCGCCCTATTGCCCTCAGCAATACTGATAACAAAATAGTATCCTTGGCCATATGCGAACCATTTAGCCAGCAATGCCAGTACAGCGTCCTAGGCTCCCAGACGGGCTTCGTGCGCAAGAGGTCTATGCTCGACAACTTGCTCTGCCTTGAGGCAGACATTCTTGAATATGCCTGCTATCGTGGCATGCCGCACGCAGGACTGCTCCTCTTGGATTTCCGCGCCGCGTTCCCGTCGCTGCGCCACGACTGGATCATAGATGTGTTAATCATGATGAATATTCCCATGTATATCGTGAATGCCATTCGGTTCCTATACACAGGCATCTACACACACATATGCCTAGCAGGCAAAAAGTTTCCAGGCTACTCGATCACCCAAGGCATTAAACAAGGATGTCCACTGTCGGGTGCATTATTTGCATTATGCATCGACCCGCTGCTGCGCCGATTATCTAACATGCTAGCTCCAGTTTGTGCTTCACCCCGTGCCTTTGCAGATGACATCCAGATCTCGGCATCCAACCTGTTGCTAGCTGTTCCGATTGTGCTGAAGAATGGTATTAGGTCCAGCCGATGTACTGGCCTGCTCTTGAACCTTGCCAAGTGTATGATCGTGCACACGCAAGAGATGCCAGATGACCAGCATTTCGCCTTATTCGAAACTGTTCGCACTAACGTTCGCTCGCTCATGCACGGCACCAGTGGCAAAGTCTTGGGTGTTTTCCTGGGCCCGGGTGGTTACAAGAAATCCTGGTCCGCTCCGCTTCAGAAATATATTTGTCGGGTCCGTCATGTTCGGTCGCTTCGTCTTGGGCTTACTCAGAGTATTTATGCATACAATTCCCTGGCCTTCTCGGTCCTCACCTTCGTGATGCAGCTATGTTACATATCGCCGGATGCGCTTCGCATGGGAACAAAAGGATTGCAGACTCTCACCGCGTGCCCGTTCTACAGCATTCCTACTGATCTCCTCCGCAATCTCTCGTCGGCGCTGCATTGGCCCATTGCCCCGCGCAACCTCGTGCTGGAGAATCAGGCTGCCATGTATCGGGTCGCTGTTCGATCCAAGGTTTTTGACAGCATTCGGAGGCGATTTCACGAGCTTGAGGAAGATGACTGGGATGTTCTAATGGTCAAGCGGTTCCCGACATGGCGTGCCGAGTCCATTGTTTTCCATCTGATTCACAACTACGAGCGTCTAACAGCCCTGCCGTGGAACCACTTCGATGAGGACACTCACGAGTTGCAGAAACAGATTTTGAAGAAGTTGATTTCTGAGGCCCACAGTTGCTCCGCGGTTTTTCTCCTGGGCAATCGAATTCGTTTCGCTTTTCCTCTGGTTAATGCCTCTAGTATCGACCTTGCTGTGCTCAGGCTCAGAATTGCCTGCACGCGCGTCGGCCCTTTTGTGGCTGCTGCCATTCTCAAAACCATCTGCAACGCGTGGGCGACCTCTGCCAGGTATAGGCAAGGCCGTCTTACCTGTCGCTTCGGCTGCCGAGCCGCTGGCGGCGACCACCTCCAGCATTATTTCGATTGCCCTCATGTTCTGAGCCTGCTTCCCTCTGTCCTGCCCTCCCTGCCAGCCGAATATTTGAATCAGAGCCTCGATGCGCGTATGCTGTGCACCATGCCATGCCATTCTAGTCAGCAGTTGTTTTCTTTGTTTCTCGTCCACGACCTGCTCTTTTCCACCTTTAACTCCTTGAGGAGCTCGCACAGGTACGGGCCCGAATGCCTGCTGCCTCTCCTGCGCGCCCGCGCCCGGCACATCGCCAAGAAGGGGCGCGTCGTGCGGAGCGTCCTCACCAGGAGGCCCGCTGCAGAAGGCAGCTGAACGGCCCGTCTCTCTGACTCGCCCAGGGGAGTGCGATCATCATCATCATCATCATCAGCATCCTCTCCATCATCTTCATCATCGCCCCGGGGGTTTGGAGGGGTCTTGGAAACTTGTTGAAGCATTATCGGAGCAGGTTTGGCCGTTTGGAAGCAAGCGTTGGCGGCCTTGAGTCATCTTGCGGTGCTTCGGGGCTCTCCTGGTACGTGTTCGGGGCCTCTTGGCTCGTTTCGGCCAGGGGGAGGTCAAATTTCCGATTTGGGGTTCGGGGGGGAGTTTTTACGGGGGGGAAGCATCTCACACGCTTAGAGACGCACGAGTGGTCGGCGGATTTGTGTGTTTGTGTTTGGTGCATTGCTGTCCTGCCCTGGAGCAGGCGCCCCTCCCCTCTGCCCATCCCTTCTCCTCCTTCATGGCTGATGGGGTCTCGTATGAGGGCTTTCAGGGGCGTCTTGCAGCCAGTTCATGGGCCTCTTGGGGGCCTCCTGGGAAGCTCTGAGGGGCGTTTTGGGGCTTGTCTGGGGTTCCTTGGGTGCCCAGTAGGGCCTCTTGGGAGCTTCTTGGGACAATCTGGGGGCGTCTTGGGGCCGACGGCCCAGAATCTCCGATGTCCTGGCGCCCTTTCGACCAGTTGTGGGGGCTTCTTTGGCCGTCTTGGGGCTCTCTTGGGCTGTCTTGGAGCCGCCTTTGGGGCCTCTTGGGCCGTGTTTGGGGGCAACTGTGGCCGTCTTGAGGCTCTCTTGGGCTGTCTTCGAGCCGTTTTGGGGGGCTTCTGGGGCCGTCGTGGACGTAGTGAAAACCCTACATGGATACGTGTTAAAAAAGCACGTCTTCCCAAAGGAATGTGACTTTTTTTGCCTTTTGGGCCCCTCCGGAAGAGACAGTTGGAGGCTGTCGGGAGCTTCTTGGAGGCTTTGGGCCGCGTGGACGCCATCTCGGGCATCTGGGAAAGGTATGTCGGCGATCGGGAGCCCTCTTGGACTGTGTGTGTGGAGGGTCCCTTGGGAGGACTCAGGGGTTGCCTTGGCGCTCCAATGGGACCCAGGGGAGACCCGGGCCCCCTGGATGAGTTCGGGGGTGGGTCGTCGGGGGCCAGGGGGGGGGTCAAATTGCCGGTTGGGGGTCCCTGGGGGGGCGTTTAACAGGGGGGAAGAAGCTCACGCGCTAGAGACCCACAAGGGGTCGGCGGATTTCGGGCCCCAGGACCCTTACAGATCGATCCGGCTCGACACATGGAGCAGACTGATAGGGCTTCTAGAGCTCCAGTCGTGATTTGTCACGATGTCGGACGGGGCTAGGACGAGGACAAATCGTTCCAGAGCGTTCCGGAACGCTCTGAGAGCATCCTGGAACGCTCTGATGGGGGCCGCAGCGCCCGAGACATCCTCCAGAACCGTCAGGTCTCAGAGATTCTCGATTTACCTTCGCCCGATTTTTAATCCTCGTCCTGGCTTCGTCCTAGGTCTACAGGGTTCGGTCGTGATTTCTCACGATGCCTCAACTCTTTCGCGTCTCTTCGGCTCTCAGGGCCTGGGGCCGCCCTTCCACTGCGGGGCCTCCCTGCGCCGCGAAAGGGTGGAAAACGTGTGGTGGGCCAAGATCGGGTGTTGCTAGACATGCCCCTTCAGACGAAGCCAGGACCAGGATCCATTCGGGTGAGTATAATGTCGAGAATCTCTGAAATCCGGCTGTTTTGGAGGATATTCGTGAGGGGTGCTTCAACGCAGATCGTGTGTTGCTAGAAGTGCCCCTGGCCCAAGGTGCCCTCAGCTTTTCGCTCCATTTTGGAGCCTCTGGGGTCCTCTGGGCCTCGTGAGGGGTGCTCTGGAGGCCGTCTGGGCCACCCCGAGAATCCTGGGGGCACCTTGGGTCAGGGGCATTTCTAGCAACACCCGACAAGAGAAGTGGCGGAGGGGCTGGAGTAGGACTGACGGGCGTCCCGCGACCCGCATACTTGCCTCCCCCCCTCCTCCCCGGTGCCCCCCGCAGCCCCCGAGGACATTTCCGAACCGAGGAGGAGGAGGAGGAGGAGGAGGAGGAGGAGGAGGAGCTGGCAGGCACCGGGCGCGCCGGCGCCAGGCGTTGAAGCGCTTGCCGTCAGGCTGGGAGGTGGACGACCTGCTGGGCGAGGAGGGGGAGGCCCGCTGGCGCCATTCCCCGGCCGTCTGGGCTCGAGGGCAGAATCCAGACCCCCTGGAGTAATGAAGAAATCATGACGGCTGGCGTTTTGCTATCTTCGGCCTCTGGGGGGCCTTACCAGGCCTCTGGACCGTCAAAAACGACTCAGGACGAAGAACCCGTCCCGGAGAAGGAGACGAGACTTCGGGGGGTCGACGCAATGAAAAAAACATGACGTCGGGGGTCTGGGAAATTCAATCGGGGCGAAGGCAGCCCACCCTTCCGGGCACTGCAGAGAGCCACACCACAATTGGGTGGAATTTTCGGAAGGGCCACTCGGGGGAGAGCCCACCGACCTCGGCATGAGCACTTTGGTCGTGGTCGTGGTCGATTTGGCCGTCCTGGGGCGCCACGTCGACCACAACTAGTCGACGCTGGGTTCGGTGTTCTGACAATTCTTGGCATGCGCAAGATATCCCTCAGGGTGTGTCCTCGATGTGGTTGTGGTCGCTTGCTGTCCCCGCACCCCTGCATTCCCCGTGAGCCCATCCCCCATATCATTACCCCTGACCGCGGCGCGCCGCATGCAGCGCGGAGGCACGCCGGTGCGGCGCGCAAAGCGCGCGCGGCGCGGGGTCACCTTGCTTGCGATGGCCGAGCTCAGGTCGTAGAGGTCCGCCAGCGTGCTGGTGCGGGCAGCCCAGAAAATCGGGCGGGGCAAGGACAGGGATGAATCCTAAACATCTGGCGTCCCGAACAAAATCGAAGCGGAAGGTTCTTGGTCGTGGCCCTCGTCGGGCCTCGGGACCGTCAAGAAACGAGTCGTGATCGAAAACCTGTCGTGGGGAAGTGGTCGAGAGGTCAGGGGCCTGTGTTTCGGAAAAGATCGAGACGCCGTATGTCTGGGATCGAGTTTTCCAGAGCGTTTCGGAACGCTCTCGGAGCGTGCCAGAACGCTCTGGACTGGCCGCGGCGCCCGACACATTCCCGAGTTATCCCTGTCCGATGTTGTCCCCATTCTTTCTGGCCTTGTCTCGCGAACATGACGGACATGTCGCGGGGTCTTGTCGATGCCGATCTCCGTATTGATCCGTGCTGGCCGTCGCCGATTCGTGAGGGATGATCCACGAAACGACGATGATCAAGGTGTTCGGTGGTCACGATCGGCTCGGCGGTTCCGCGTTCAGTCGTGGTCATGGTCCTCGTTTTCTCTCCGTTCAACAGCACTTGATAGACTTATAACACAAGTGGGTAAACATACATTGTTCGGAGGTCCTCGCGGATTATGTGGGTTGGCGTGCAGTTCATGTTAATGCAGCGCAGCTGCACAATGTCTCGCCCTCACCTTCTTCGTCGCCGCGCGGCATCGGCGCTTGGACCTGCAGACATGGGAATGCGGCTGGCGGCACTTCCGTCGGCCCGATCATGTCGTAGATGCTATTCGGCGATTGCAAGTTCCCTTGCCTTTGCCCAGGAGGCCGACGCATGCTGGCGCGAGAGCGCTCATGAGCGCTCGTGGGGGCGGTCTCCATGAAGCTGCTGGCCTCCGCTCTGCCGTCACACCTGATGATGTAGTCGACGGCGTGCAGGACGAAGCTCGTGGCTTCCGCGTCGCCGCCCGCGCTATTCCTTCGACCGCGCCTTCGCACGTGTTCGTAACACGAGCTCGGTCGGGCGAGGATCCTGGGCGATCTGCTGCTCGGGACTAGTCGCCTCGCTGCGGTGTCGCCCGTCGCCCGTCTCCATGTCTTTCTACGAGACAGCCCTCACGAGATCATGACCCACCAAGAACCGAAGTGCAATTTCACGCATCAAACTGGGCGAAACATGTGCTGCCAATCCCGCCGCCGACCTAACGCAGCTGCCAATCGACAACATCTGCTGGCAAATGGTTAAACCCTGATCATGCTGAAGGTCGACCGTCGTCCATGCCTCTGGGATGCCTCGCCGGGGACACCTGCGGAGCGCTCGCTGGGCCCCCCGAGATGCCGCGAAAAGCAGCCGTTTTGGGCATCATTGCGCCGGCCGCGACCACGACTGCACTTCCGAAGACGCGCTCGGACGCGAGCTGGCGGCAGCTGAAGCGCATCTCGGTGGCCTTTTTTTTCGGGGGGAGGGGCGGGGCACCGCCTTTCACATGTGAAGGCGCGTGTCCCTATCCTGTTGCCCTTGCTCGTGTTCACACGTGCAGCTGGCAAGACGGCAGGCTGGCATGGCAGCATCTGCTGTCTGGCAACTGCGGACACATGCAACGTTCACAATGCTGGCTGGCAGCACCACGTTACAGCGTTAGCCCATGTGCTAGAGCAGGCGGCTGCCATGCTGACATGCGGGTTGTCAGCCATCCTCTCGTGCGCTCCTCGGCATGAGGCCGTCACGCTGCAGCTGCGCTCGATGGTGGGTATCGCAGGGTGGCCACCGTTCGAGCCGAGGTGTCTGCAGGAGGCTTTGAAGGCCGCATCCCAGGCGCCGATGGGGCTTCCATTCACGGTGAGCGTCTTCTGGCATGCCTCCACGTTCGCCCGCCTTTAGGAGGCTCTTGGGGGGGGGAGATGGACTCCCCAATCGCCCATTGATAGCCGATAGGGGCCTGATAGCCCACCCCGTCCAGGAACGTTTGGCGTCGCTATCAGGGGCAAGTCGCCAATCAACCGACTATATATCGCCGATTTCAAGTCAACGTTTCCCCCCCTCCGAGCCAGTCCACCCTCTCGTTCCCCCTCATTGGCGAACCTCGCGCCCCCCTGGCAGGTGGACAGCCTGGAGGCGGCCACCGCGACCTGGGCAGGGCAGGTCGTTCAGGATGCCGTGTTTCGGCTTTGGCAGGTCGTGAGGTTTTCGAGATACTTCCTCGCCGCCATGAGCCGAAGAGAAGTCCGAGTTCAGCGCGCACCGCTGGGTGTCTCAAAGAGGGGGGGGGGTATGGGAGCGGAGAGGTCCTGGGCGTGGCGCGGGAGGGGCAGAGGGCACCGCAGGCGAAGATGTTCAAGAAGATGGATTTCGGCACCGAGGTCGAGAGGAGGATGTTCCAGAAGCTCTTCGACGACACGAATTTGGGCATTCTGACCCGGGACACCCTCTGCTCTCCGCCCGGGTCGGATGACGGCCGGGGTGCGTCATGGCTTGGCCTCAGAGCCGGTGGTCCCAACGGTCGTGGACGAGGGGAGACGTCGCCACGAAGCAAGCGGGTCCTGGGGGAAACGTGTCCTAAGGTTTGGGCCCGTCTCGGGCCCCGGGGGCCCTCCACGGGCCCCAGGACCGTCAGGAAAACACTTCGGTCAACACTTCGGTCCTGGAGAAGGCCCCGGGTTCCAGGACCCCTTTCCTGCAGGACCCATTTCCCTCATGGCAAGTGATGTTCAAATAACCAGTTTCAGAGGAAGCGGAAGGCGACGATGAGAAGGAAAGGCGGAGCAGGAGAAGGCGGAGGACGAGCAGAGGAAGGCGACACGAGATTCAGCCCTAGGTGCTCTGGACAAGCGACGGGGAGGTGAATCAAGGGGGTCGGCTGACGAGTAGCAGACAGCCAGCGCAGGCGTTGACTGGAGGAACGGAGGACTCGAGGAGGAGGAGAAGGAGGCCGAGGAGGAGGAGGAGGAATGGAGGAATGGAGGAGGAGGAGGAGTGGAGACGGAGGACTGGAGAAGCGATAGGAGGAGGAGGAGGCGGAGGAGGAGGAGGTGGAGGAGGAGGAGGAGGAGTGGAGGAATGGAGGAATGGAGGAATGGAGGAAATGAGGAAAGGAGGAAAGGAGGAATGGAGAAGGAGGAGGAGGAGGAGGAGGAAGAGGATGAGGTGGAGGAGGAGGAGGAATGGAGGAGGAAGAGGAATGGAGGAGGAGGAGGAGGAGGAGGAGAAGGCAGAGGAAGAGGAGGCAGAGGAGGAGGAGGAGGCGGCCGAGGAGGAGGAGGAGGAACACGCGAGGAATGGAGAAGGGATATGAGGAGGAAGAGGAGGAGGAGGAGGAGGAGGAGGAGCAGGAATGGAGAAGGAATGGAGAAGGAATAGGAGGATGAGGGAGGAGGAGGAGGAGGAGGAGGAGGAGGAGGAATGGACGAGGAGAAGGATACGGAATGGATAAGCAATAGGAGGAGGATGAGGAGGAGGAGGAGGCGGATCCCCCTCCCCCTCCGAGGGCAGAGATGGTCCTCTGGAGGGACGAGGGAATGTATCAATGCGTTCCTCCCTCAACTCCTTTCCGAAGGCCTGGCGCCTCTCCAGCGTCCTAGCACGCCTCGAAGAACCAAACACTGCGTGCACGCTGGTCGTTGAGAGTAGGTCCGGATTCCCAGAAACCAGTCTATCTAAAGCGCTTTCCTACTTTAATCATCGATCTATGTGTTGGCTGTTGCTCGTCAATTGTTCTCTGCGCGTGCCCGAACTCAATCTGCTTGATCCGCCTTCCTACTTCGTCCTTACGTCTTCCGACCGGCGGGTAAGCATAAACTGTCGGAGGTCCGCACGGATTTCTTGGATCAGCGCTTGGACCCCCTTGGCGGCGCCTCCTGCGCCGCCCCGAGCGCGCGGAGCGCGCCAGGGAGGGCGGCCCGGCGCAGATCCAGGAGGTCCGCGCGGACCTCCAACAGTTTGTATTTTTTTTGTTCTTCCTCTGACGCCCACGGGGGCTTCCCACGGCGGCGTGCCACTGCAGCCGTTATCGTGCTCCCCGAGGCCTCCCCCCGCCGGCAGCGGGGGCACCGACGGCCCCGCCCGCTGCCCTTCCCCCCGAAACCCCCCCAGCGTCTTGCTGTTGTCCCCACGTCGACCCCCGAAGGCCTCGAGCCGATCTCTGGGACCGACGCTTCCCTCCCGGGTCGGTTTCCTGACGGCCCCGAGGCCCGGCAAGGCCGAGAATGGCAAAGATCCTGCCGTCTCGAGGTAGAAAAATATGGAGGAGGAGCAGGAGGGCGGAGGAGGAGGGGGAGGAGCAGGAGGAGGAAAAGGTCTGCCCATGGAGGCGTGACGTACACGAAGGGAACACACACACACAGCTCGAGGCGCCGGCTTTCGGCCGCACGTCTGGCGGCGGGCTCGGGTGCTGAACGGGCTCGGAAAGCACGCCCGAGGGGGCCGCGCGGCCTGGACCGGCAGCGTCGGTGTCTATGTCGGCCCTTGGGAGCCTTCGACCCCCGTATCCGGGACTGCGCCCTTCCGCCACAGGCCGTTCAATTGGACCCGTGAGTCGCGAGAGCGCTATCGACGTGGCCGCCGCCTCGCCGTTTCAGCAGGGAGGTCTGGCCTCGATGCCCGCCCGCGCCAGGACCGCGGCGCCCGCGACAAGTCCGGGCTGGGCGCCAAGATGCCTAGGGCGTTCCAGGTGACGAGCGTGCAGATGGCGACGCCGGGCCCCCCCTGAGGGCGCGGGATCGATGGGCGCTCGGTAGCAGGAAGGCAACACGGGATGGATGGAGAATTGCAGGGCCAGTGGCCTTGAAGGGGCCCTACGGGGCCCCTTGAAGTGCCACCGCGGGCCCCAAAGGTGTGCGAAAAGTGCACGGCCCTTCGCCCCCCGGTTCATTGCCCCACCCGTCAACGATCGGCGGCGTCGTCGTCCTGGAGGTCTCCGGGGCGCTCTGGAGGACCTCGTCACCACGGCTGGATGCGGCTCGGAAGCCTTGAAACGGAGCAGTGTTCCGAGCTGGGTCCGCCGTCTTCAGGCCCCGACGCTCCCCACGGCCCGAGAGCTCAGTTGTGGTTTTGGATGGGATTTGCGGATTGGTTTCGGACGGAGTTTGGTCGGGAGTACATTGCGCGAGGGGGGGGGCTCTAGGAAGGCCGGGGTCTTCTCGGATGCAGTGCTGCCTTCTAAGAGGCCTGCTCGGAAGTCTCCGAGTCCCTCTAAGAGCTTCCCCCCCGCCTGGCCCGCCAGGAGTGGGCGGGGGCGATTTGTCTACATCTACAAAAGAGAATGTCTTAAAGCTTCGCGTATCCGCTCCAGCCCATTCAGAAACGTTGCCCATGAGAGCTGACGGGAAACGGGAGGCAGAGACACGGGGAGGAAGCGGAGGACGTGGAGGAAGACCAGGACGAGGAAGACAGGTACGTGTACAAGGACGAGGAGCAGGACGGGGACGATAAGGAGGACAACGACGAGGAGGATTCTTGGAACCATATTGCGAAGGCCTTACGGCTGGTGCCGCCGACCTTGAAGACGAAGCTGTCTGTGACGCCGTGAAGGCCGAAACGTAGTATATGCTAGACATGTAAGTTTCTGATGGAGAAGTAATGAGTGTGGCCTCTTGGGCCCTTCTTGGGGGTGCTCTTGGAGGGGCCTGGGACGTCTTGGAGGCTTCTTGGACGGTCTTGGGGCTATCTTGGGCGTCTTCGGCCGATCTTTGGGCGACTCGGGGCACTCTTGGGCCGTATCGGGGGCCATCTTGGGCATTCGGACCTCATTTGGAGTGTTTTCGAGGTTTCGAGGCCGCCCGAGGAAAAACGAATCTGCCCCCCCACCCCCCCCCTCCACCCCCCCCGGGACCCCCCCACCCCCCCGGGAAGGGATCAAAGGGAAGGGGCTTCCCTTCGAATCGACAACGGCATGACGGCAGGAGGGTACGGCCCAAAAAGAAAAAAGGGGGAAGGAAGAAGGGGGGGCGGCGAGGAACGGACGAGGAAGCCCCTCGCACACGCCGACAGGGTCGGCGGACAACGACGAGGAGGATTCTTGGAACCATATTTGGATCCTCTTAGTACCTTCTTAGGGCTCTCTCGGGGCCCTCTAGGGACAACGAGTAGGAGAACGAAAAGAAGGCGGACGAGGAAGATGAGGAGGAGGAGGAGGAGGAGGAGGACGACGACGATGGCAAGAACGAGGACGGGCACGAGGACATGGAGGAGGAGGAGGAGGAGGAGAGGAGGAGGAGGAGGAAGACGACGACGACGACGACGATGAAAAGATGACAACGACGAAGACGATGACGAATACGAGGACGAGGAGAACGAGGATACGGATGAGGAAGACGAAGAGGAGGAGGTGGAGGAAGACAACGAGGACAAGAACTCTTTGAGCCATCTTGGGGTACTCCGTGAGTCCTGTTGAGGTGTTCTGTGGGTCCTCTTCGGGCCCGCTTGGGGCGCTTTGGGAAAATCCTGGTGTCCTCATGGGGCTCTTTTAGTGTGTCTTCGGGCCCTCTTGGAGCCCTCTTTGAGGCCTCTTTTGCCCCTCTTGGAGGCCCTGTATTTAAAGCCCCTTGGGCCATCTTGTCGCCGATGAAAGGATGGGGGGGGAGGGGTGGCGGTTTGCCCTCCCCCCCCCCCCCTCGTGGGCTTTCAAAATCGCCCATTGGGGCGCTGTTGGGGTGATCTTTGGGGCTCTTGGAGCCATCTTGCTTCGGGCTCTCTTCGGCCGTCTTGTACCCATCTTTAGGCTTCAGAAACGCATCAGAAGCCAGAAGGCGGGAAGGCACAATTTGTGGATTTTCCTTGGTTTTAAAAGACGTGTGGGGTCCTGAGGGGGATCATGGAGCACTTGGAACCGTCTTGTGGCCCTCGTCGGGCCTCTTGGAGTTATGTTGGAAGCTATCTCGAGTAATCTTCGGCCATCTTGAGCCATCTTGGAGGGCATCTTGTAGCATCGGACCACCTCTTGGATCCATCGTTTGCCATCTTGGGCGCCCTGACCACTCGCGCCCCCCCAAAACAAAAAAAAACTCGGGGAGGGGAGGGGGAGGGTACCCCTCCCCGAAGGGACGCGGGCTTTGGAAGAGGAGAGTAAGATATCGTTCGACCACCTACGCCCAACGGCCTGGAGGGATAAACCACGTGCATGAAACAGAGGAGGATCTGGCACCATGCGCTACCAAATGGTCTGCTCATGCCGGTTCACTCGCTTTGGTCTAGCAGGAGTCGTGCCAGTGCCAGCGAGCATCTTCTATTTTGTGTATTGAAGCGCACGGCGGTACGGGCAATAGGAAACGCGTGCGAGGAGGAAACGGAGCAGGAGGAGCAGGACGAAGAGGAAGAAGAGAAGGATCCACATACCATTGCGGCTTGCTTTAGATGTTGTTCGTTGTCTCGCCACCTCGCCTCGGTTGGATAGTATCCATGCCGCACAGCTTATGTCCGCACAACATGAAGTTGACCCCACATGCTAATATTTTCTCAGTGCTCATGAGAGTCATCATCATCGACGACTAGCGGTGGTGATGATGCCAGGATGCCAGGATTCCAGGATGCGACCTGCGAGGCCGTTGAGACATGTGGGGCCCGTTGGGATGTTTAGACCTGCAGGGCTTGTGGGACCTGTGCGACCTGCGGGCCCTGTGCGACCGTGGGACCCGTGAGCCCTGTGGGACCTTGGGGGACATGTGGGCCCTGTGGGACCCGTGGGACCCGTGGGGCCCCTGGAACTTGTGGGACCCGCGGGGCCTGTGAAACCAGTCAGACTTGTGGGGCCCGTTGGACCCGTGCGGCCGGTAGGGCTTGTTGGACCTGTGGGACCTGCGGGACTGGAGAGCCCTGTGCGACGTGTGGAACTTGTGGGACCTGCGGGGCCTGTAGGACCTGTGAGGCCTGTTGGACCTGTAGTGCTTGTGGGACCTGAGGGGCCTGCAGGACCCGTGCGACAAGTGGGACCGGTGGGACCTGTGAGAATTGTGAGACCTGTGAGGCCTGTGGGGCCTGTGGGACTAGTGGGCCGTGTGGGGCCTGTTTGGCCTGTGCGACCTGTGGAAACCGTGGGCCCTCTGAGTCGTGTTCGTCCTGCGGGACCTGCGGGACCTGTGTAACATGTGCGCCCCTGGTTCCCGCTGCAGACTTCCTCGCTCTTCACTGGCAGACGGAGCCTCCGTTCGAGACATCCTCACGATTTGCTCCCTTGGGGCACGCAACAGCTATGCCTGCTACAGTACGCCGATGACCGCCTCGCATTAAACACCCAAGGGGCCCCCCGCTGGAGACTTCCTCGCTGTTCACTCAGAGACGAGGCCTCCGCTTGAGACATCCTGACGATCTGCCCCCTGGGGGCGCTCGATTATTATGCCTGCTACAGCACGCCGATGACCGCCTCGAATCAAGCACACGATGCGGGGACCCCCTGGGCAGGGGCCTCCCACTGGAGACATCCTTGCTGTTCCCCGCGATTTGCGCTTGGGCTGTTCAATTGCTATGCCTGCTGCAGTACGCCGATGACCGTCTCAGATTCAAAACATGAGGCGGGGACCCCATAGGGAGGGGGCTCCCGCTGGAAACTTCATCGTTCCACTGGCTGACGACTCTCCCGCTCGAGACTTTCTCGATATGAAAGTGTGATTTTGATGGGTGTGGATGTGGGAGTGTGTGTATGTGTGATGGTGATGATGGCGATGATGATGCGAGATTGTATGAATGTGTGTGACGGGGAGTGTTGATGATGATGGTGAGGATGACGACAGTGGTGATGATGCTGATCGATGGTCATGATGGGGTGTTGATCGTAGGGATGAAATTTGTGTGATGGTGGTGTGATGGTGATGGCGAGTGCTGAAGGAGATGAGGCGAAGAGGGGGTTGAGGCGAGGAGGGCAGGACCGCGCGGGGTGTCCAGAGAAAGCAAGAACCCCGCCTAGGATGTGGGGAAAAGCACCCACCCTCCACGATGGTTGGCAGTTTCCTCCCCTCTCCCAACCCTCCTGCAGGGGCCTCGTCGCCACCGGCACGGTTCGCCTCGGGATCCTGGCCAGAAGGCGGGCTCCAGGACAGGTCCGGGGCTCCGGTTTGAGGACGGGCGGTGCGTGGAGAGGGAAGGAGGGAGGGGACGGGATAGTCTTTTGGGGTTGTGAGGGATTTGACGCTCTGAAGGGCGAGGGCAAGACCTTGCGGGCGCTCTGAAGGGTTGTTTGGCGCTCTGAAGGGCGAGGGCAAGACCTTGCGGGGGGTGAGAGGGTATCGAGGGGGTGGGAGGGAATAGCAAAGCGGAGGAGAAGACAGGGGGATGAGGAGGAGTGGTGCGAGGAGGAGTCCGATGAGGAGGAGGAGAAGGAGGAGGAGGTGTTCGGCGTCAATGACGAGGACGCCAAGTTGGACGAGAAGGAGAAGCAGGACGAGAAGAACGAGCAGGAGCATGACAGCGGTGTTCAGAAGAGTCGTGCTACGTCTGCATGCGACCCTGCAGTGCCAGCTTTTCCAGTGCCATGCCCAGCCATTGCTGTCTGCCCGTGGACTCGCCACGCCATCACGCCCGTGCTTGGCCGCACACCTCTGAGCCGCGCACGCCCCTCTCGGACCGCAGGTGATGAACGCGGAGAGCTGGGACAGCTATTCGCAGAGACTAGACCAG